GTTCATCTCTTCCGATTGTGCACTCCCCTCAATCCAGTAATGCAGATAGTCAAAGGTAATAGCAAAATCTATGCTTAGTTGATTAGCACATTAGCATAACGACTTCAATGAACTGCTACCAAGTTTATTACCCTTGTTAACTTTAAAAAAAGAAGAAAGATTGTAAGTTCATGAAATTAACTAACTTTCCCTTCTTACAATTATCCTGAAGTCATTTTTCCGTTCTAAACCACTAGAATAATTTCCCAAAACTAAGCTTATGCAACAGTTTATCTAAAGAAGGTAAAACAAAAACAGACGAAGTTATTCAGTGACTAATAACTGACGTTTAGATGATTTTTGGCTCTGGTCTAGCTACCTTAATTATATACATCAGGACTATCAGCATTAAACATGAACCATGAATGATTCCAAGTTTGTGGGAGTCTATCCTATTCCTAGGATTCAACATTTGTTGCTGGCGTGCACTCGGATGGTGTGCCCAATACCATTCTTTTTTTTCCCTGGAATAGAGGTTAACAGAGAATAACACACATAAGGGAATTCTGCAATTGCTCCCAAAAGTATCATTACCAAGCTTGAGAGAATAGGATGAAGCAACATGCATGAACACTACAGATCAGAGTTACCAGGATCATGCTAGCCCTGGAACCATGATCCAGATCATGCATCCGGATTCAGGGTACATTTGCATTCCAGATCACCAAATTGGCAACCTGACTTTCCATCTTTCTTTGTTAAAGGGCAAGGGGGGAATAGTGATGGCAGATTCCTATGATTTCTTTTTCTTGCCTTTTTAATTACCACAACACTTGGTTTATTGCCTTGGCTGTTGAATAGGAATCATAAATATGCCCAATGATTTGCCCAGTGTCAGATTCAACTCTTAGAAACAACCTAGATAGGTGGTCCAAAGCATACCATGATCCATACTAACCTACCAACTACGCCTATCCCAACATACAACAAGTTAATGTAAATGCATACCACATACTTGAACTCATACCATAACCCCAAACATAAGGTGTTCCTGGTAACACTGGTACAGACAGAATAGCATTCCCTAAATTCATTAGAAGCAACAACGTTTTAGAAGAAACCTTCACACCAGGCAACCACCTCCACCACTTCCTCTATTTCCAACTAGCAAGGTTTGTTTGCTAATCAGATTATCTTAGAAGTAGATGAATGGTTATCATGGGAAAAACTGGTGCCGACAAAGTTCAAGCGGAGAGCATAATTTGGATTAGCTTGCACAAAATTGGTTAGAAACTTAACATTTATTTTCCTATCAGAAAAAACCAGGTGCAGCATGTTGGGATAACATCATTCAGGAAGACAAGAGCCACCTAGGGATATGGCTTAAGAGACACCTAGCTGCTATTGATCACCTTGAGAAACACTTTATCAGCTTTTAGATTTACAAATTTTATCTGATTGCAGGTTGCTTAAGAAAACTAGGGGAAGTTGGTGCTAAAAAACCCATTTCAAGGGAACAATTGTACAGTACGATGGGGGTGGCTTAAGCAAGTTGCTCCTAAACCTTCATTTTTCTGCCTTTAAGATGGCCCTGCATTGTCTCGGAGATCAAAAAGATAGCCCTGAACTAATAATTTGAATTCCCAACCCGGTAACAGTTTTTGTTTCTCCTTCCTCGCTGGACAAAATGCCCTATGCACACCATAGGACCGGCAGTGATTATTACTAAAACTAAAGCAAATGCAGCACCAATGCCAGTTTAGATTCAGAATTATCAATAACTTAATAAGCCAACAAATGCACCAATCAATACCTCAAGACAAGGGCCAAGGCATTATCGTGGGAATTTTGGGGCAAAAGCATAAAATTTGACGCATTTAATAATTACTCTAGCTCTTAATTAGTCAAAGTTCAAAAAACCTTTTATTTGCTAGATATGAGAAATTGAGTCAACACAAAAACAACAAAATAGAGTTTTAAGATTCAAATCACAATCAATTGCAGCTTAGAAAATCGTACTTCTTTCAAGTAGAACATACTTTCCCATTCTATTCTTCCTTTTGTATATTTCTCCGCGGGAAGAGAGAGTGCCATTCCCATAGAAATGCAAAAACTAAAAAGAAAGAGACAAATAGAACAAGCAATAGTGTCCTGCAAAACCGTTGGTATCTAAAAATACTCAGAAAGTTTTACCTTGAAGCTCTATCCGTTGGACAATCAAGTTCACCGCTGCATTAGCTGACGAAAATGCCCCATGAAAGCTTTCTTTATAGGAAATAGATTCCAAATTTCTAGCCATGTTCAACAAGATGACACCCAGGTCTGTTTGTTTCTCTAGCAAAGACTCGTAGTATGATTGAGCAGCAACCTTACTGATCTCAACATTTGTTTCCTCGGGGCAGTACTCATCATCCAGCCATTTATGCAGGGTAACCTTGAGCCACTGCGATTCCTGCACAACATCAGATGTACATGATTCAAAACCCATTTACTATTCCTATTCTATCCCCGAAATTAAAAGAAAGAAAGAAAATGGGTAACTACTTCCATGGCCTTGGAAGGGGGCAACCAATGAGTAGGGACCCTAAGGTCTTGAACAAGGGATTCTTCTTCTTCTTCATCGCCATCTTCTTGACTGTTTTGTGGGGTTGAAAAAGAAGACTGGCATCTTGTTATAACAACATCAGTGGGCGGTCGAGAAATTGGGGTTGAATTAGACAAGATTGGATAGTGAGAAGAAGCAACTAGTGTGCGAATTGGGAGAAGGGGGTTGCCATTGTTGATAACCGAGAAAGGAATATTATTGTTATTATTATTGATGGTTACATTCTGACATTTTGGTGGAGTGGATAAGGATGGCATTGAGGAGAGCCTCATTGGTTTTACCCTTCTTCTTCTTCGTCTTGGTTTTATCAGAAGAAGAAGAAGGCGGGGCAACAAGGAAGGAAGGAGTGGAGATTCAGGGATTGCGGGAAAAGGGAATCGAGGATTCTGTCTGGATAAGGGATTGATTCCTTTAACGCCTTCTGAACACAATTTTATTTTTTTATTTTTTTTATTTTTTTTTGGGGGGGGGGGTCGTCAAGATTATTTCTTTTCAACTTTTTATCCCTCTTACTTTCTTGATATTCTACTGGCTGTATCAACTATCAATTGCCATCAGAAAAACCAGCACACTATTTCTTCTAACTGGTGGATAAATATCAGAGAGGTATCTTAATTACAAACTTCTTAGAGAAAGAACAAAAAAAATGAATGATTATGATTTTCCTCGATTTTTTTCAGAGAAGATCAATTATCTATGCGTGCATTTTCCTAGACTGAAATAGGCAGGCATGTGGTTATTGTGTGAAGTTCCTGGCAGGTTAGGGGTAAGATTTTTGTCAACTAACGCCGGCAAAATCTCAGGAAGCTAGTAGGAAAGGACTCGATCAACCATTAACAAATAATTCTAATGTGCACGGATTTGGTCGAGACGTAGAAATAGTGCTTCAAGATCTTTTGTTCTTCCCGGCATCTGTTAAACTGATGTGCCTTCCGACGAGGAGGAATGGAAATGAAGCAACTCAATATGTTCAAAAGGGATCCTTACCATATGTAGTGTTAGAATTCCCTCAAACAAGGCACTATCATCATACACTGGATATAAACCCTGTGCACTCACATGAAGTTAATCATGCATACATTCTCACAGTAAGCATAGAGTATCATTTCCAAGCATAACAGCAGCAGCAGTACAAACAAAGCCATATCCCACACTAGTCGGGTTTGGCCATACGGATCCTTTTCCAAGTATTCATTAAAAGAGAAAAGGAAAGAAAAAACTAGTTTAGAGCATAAGTACTGCATTCAGATTTATTTGCATCAACATGATGCCAAACACGTGTAATTCTTAAGATGTAGCTCATTCTCATCTCTTCACACACACAAATCTACGAATGGAAGCCCATGAACACAAGGCACAAAGTGACCTGGTAAACAGTTAACCTGAAGGCGATGGATTTGGTGATAGTGGATTCAATTTGCCAATGTTTTCCTTAGGACTGATGAAAATCCTTCGGACTGTCAATTGGAATTCCCTGCATTTTAAATAGCAGTACTACCAAATTAATTCACAGCTAACCATTACAAATTCAACAAAAAGCAATGCAAATGAAATGCTAGCACATTTCTTCTTGTTGTTCTTCTTTTTTCCTTTTCTTCTTCTTTTTTTTTTCCCTTTTTGAAGACTACACAAGCTGTTTAGAGCATTTGATACTCATTGCCACGGGCAATCTTTGATCTGCATCATGTCCCCTTCATTGTCGCAGTACACTACATACCACCCACTGGTCTCATCAATCAAACTTCCTTGGAAGTCAAACATAAGGTCAAGCTCACAAATGAGTTCATTGTACCCGTGGAATTGTGTCAGATCAACAGATCTTCCAGGTACAGTTCCATATTTGAGCACCTAAAAGAGAGACTACTATCTCAAATTTAAAATAAGAAAACAATCATCAGGGCACTTATAGGGTGTGCCAAAGCAATTTCAAGAAAGGGTGATGTAAAGGCAACTTGATAGGTCTTCCCCTACAAAAAATGTTTTGCTTGCAAATGCTTTAATACGTGAAGCTCCTCTAAAAGTGCAACTTAAAAGTCTACTTCCTAAAACACACAAAAAAATACAAAATAAACAACAGTATACCTTTGTGCGACTCGGAATAGTGGCAGAGCAACAGTTCTTGCATTGTTTTTCTGAATTAACACCTGATGTACTCTTTGATGGCTCTGAAACACTTGACTGTGATGTTACGGGAACATAATTGTGACTTTCATTCTCAACAGTAGTGGCAACTTGTGATGAAGGGAGCTCCGGTGAATTACTTACTAAATTGACACCAAAAAGCATGTATCTGTGCGGTGCAGCATGTGGAACTTCATTTGCATGCTTCAGTTCAGAACCTCTCCATTTCTGAGACCCAGAATTGTGAGATACATTTGGAACTGACAAGCTTCTGCTTCCAACAGCATTATCATGGACTCCATAAGAGTTAAATGTGGAGTGCCGGCTATTAGGAATATCCAACCTTGTTATGTTTCCGCCAGGAAATGATACAGTATTACTGGGACACGGATAAATTGGGCCACGCATCCAAAATTGCAATTGATTGTCTCGTCCAATTGTTGAGCGGTTCCAGTCAGGATTTGGAGAAGTCAAATGTGGTACTGATGGCGGTTTAAAGGCACCAAATTGATTAGCACTTGTGTCCCTATCTTCTTGACCTTGCAAGACCTCCAAGAGGCTTTCATTTGCATGCTCATCTGAACCATGCAGTAATCCTGATAGTAAAAAGAAATTTTGATCAGTCAGAGCATAAAACGAAGCAAACGCAAAATTTACTTCTAATTTTCTATATTTAGGAGTAGTCATGAAGAGTTAAAGAAAGTGGAAAATTCCTAGGATAAATAAATACTGACCTTCCTTGACTGAGATAACAAACCTAGGAAGTGATTTGTCTGCTATGCATGCCATCTTTTGTAGGTGTAAAAGAGAAGCATGCTTCTTTCTTATAGGTTCTATGGGCTCAATGTTCCAGGGAGAGACACGTTCTTGATGCACAAATGGCTCTGAAGCAGCATCCCATTTTACCTGTAAGGGTTCGATGTTATTAAAACAGTATAACAAATGGAATCCATTCAAGAGGATAAAAGAGGGCTTAAATCATAGAAAATAGCTTTTACCTTGAGAATTCTCCATTCTGAGTGGGGCCACCTAATACGATCGACATCTTCAGTACCAACAACAGTGCCCTCAAATCTTTCAATCCTAAATGTACAGTGACTGTTAACAGGTGATAAAGGGAAGAACGTGGCTATATTATATGCCATAACTGAGTATTATTGTCATTTATTTGCTGTAATAGCATGTTAAACACCAGCAATAGTGGAAAGTTTAGCTGTTCTTCCAAATAGTGACCACAGATTACAGACATAAATGCCTTCAACAGTTGGCTAACACAGGAATTCAATTTTTTTCAAATGTGTTAAGAGTGTAATATGTTCCGAAGGTTTGGCACCTCTGTTCTGCGCATTCTTGTCCTTCAAACAGCATCCTGAATCTTGTCCCAGCAGAGTAATTAATTTCAGCTGACTTCATGTATTGATCATATGGAATGATAAATTCAGCAGG